GCTGGCGGTTCTGTAGCTCTAGGTCTAGAATTACAAGGAAAATGGAACTGACTCCCACTCCCCTGAAGTCCACACGTACCAGAATTCAAGTTTATTGGACCATGCCACTGGCAGGAAAATCATCAGACAACTACGAGCCTCTTTCCTGCAATTCAGAATTCTGCTAAATTTGATGTAAAAAAAGGCAGAAATGAAGCAGCAATTGGGCAGGAAGCAGTAAAAGATTTGATCCCACAAGCACGTCTATCAAAATCTGTACAACGGTACCTTAGTGGCAATCAAAATTCTGTAAACACACACCATAACGTAAATGTGATATGTATGTGTGTGTATATATTCATATATATATATGTATTTGCATATGTGAGATTTTCACAGCAGAAAAACTCTCTCTCCAAATATTTCTTTATGAAGTATTGATTCTTAAATGTTCTATATTGTACGTGCAAAAAAGCCAAACACAGTTTTCCTCAGGTGCACCTTCCCTACAAAACACTCACATACTGCAAATGGATTTTTCTCTCTCTCCTCCCCTCCCTCTCCAAACATGTAGCTCGAGACTAAACTTTGTTAAAAGCTACTTACCTATCACTTTGTGAGAAATTGGTTTTCTGCTCATTTCCTGCCCAGACTTCTCCAATTTTGGACAATACATTGCTGATGAAAGTTGCTCTTGTATGGACATTTCCTGCATGAGCTTGTTTTGTTACTGTTGATAATGGCTTTGGTCTTGAAACTGTAAAGCCACAAGGGAAAAACATCAGCCTTGTGTAATCAAGTGTGATGGTGAGTTGTCCACTATATTCCCCCTCCTAAACGTTACCTTCTCTTAAGACCAATGAAGGCAAATGGTAAGGCTTGGCTCTCTCAACAGCCAGCTTCCTTTGAACTCGGGGAAGGATCTTGCCATATTGGTCTAATATAGAATCTCTAACAACTGATCTCTCTCTCAAGCGAGGATCACGATCATTCTGATGAAGGAAAAGCATAAAGCAAAATGTTAACTAGTTACAAGAAGTTTGTTGCACAGACCTGCCTGTGCTAGTTCTCATTAGTGACGAGGTTTCCTCTACAGCTATGGTAAAATGCGTCCACTGCACAGAACAGCAGCAAGCTCTACCCATCAGCACGCACCAATTTCACTTGGTATTTTTAGCAAAGTGGAAGAAGGACTAGAATAGGAACAGAACAACATCTATAACATTTAATTTATAACTTCACGGAGTAGTTTTGGAGTAGTGAAATATTTTGTTTAACTTTTAGGTTCAGCTGTAACTTAACATACAGAAACTGATTCCCAGTGCTTCAAAGAATGGTATAAAAAACAAAGCAGGATTTTTATTGAGTACTATCAAAAAGGTTTACTAACAACTAACAGAAACTTGCACACTTGACGGAACGTTAACACTTACCATAAGATTAACCTTCATTGACTGATTCAACTGTAGCGCTGCGGTATAGTTGGCACGCTGCAGATGGCGCACTAACAGAAATTCATGATTCTGAACACCACCGCTGGTCTGTAAAAACTTCTCCAAACGCTCCTACGACAAAGAACAAAAGAATGCATTTAAAAATTCTGTTATGATTCTGCCTTTTCTCTGTTCAAAGGGACGATTAGGATTTTTTTTCCTGCCCGCACTTACTTGTTCAATGTCTGTGAAAGGCAGCTTCAGTAAGTCTTCCATTAGTCCCATCTCCTGACAGGTTTCGTACACGTGTTTTAACAGATCTTCTACGTTTGACGTCGTGGCATGTTGACGCAACAGACCCCAAGCCTCCACCATGCACCTGTAATTAAGATTTTTTGAGATGTTGATAGTACAATCAAAAAGATGCCGCAAAACTATTGCGGTCAAAGTTCAAAGGAAACTTAGGGGATCACGCTTCATATTATTTGTTCCCACTTTTCACAAGATTTGCATGCCAAAATGGTGGGAATAGATTTCTTTACCTATTGGACAGCAACACAGTGAGGAAAAGCTGCACTTCACTAGTGCTTGACATTGATGGCTTCATCATCTGTATGTATCTGAGGGCTTGCCTGGGCTCTCCTTGGCACATGAGGGAGTGAATAATTCTCTTATGTTGCCATGGGACAGTTTGGATTGTAGCTGGGTGAAGGAGCAGGTCCAGTGAATGCTGTAGAAGTTAGAGATCAGGTTTACTGCCATATAAAGAGCAGCACACGCAACACAAACACTCACAAGTTTCTGAAGGGTGAATGTGTGTTATGAACTAAACTGAGGTGACTACCCAATGAAATACTTGACACAGGACAGGGAAATAAAAATTCTTAAGTATTTGCCAGAAAGCAATAGAGAACCAAGCGAGTGCTATAAAAGGAGTAATTCACACTTTTCTAGGTTAGTCAAATCTCTTTATACACCCCCCACTTTTTATAAATCCGTTACTAAATACTAAGTTACTCTCCCAGGCAAACAGATTATATTAACATCGTGACAGGCAAAGAACTACCTTCAGCGTCAGAAAGAGCATGAATTAGGTTGAAAAGTCACAGCCTTCTGTCTAAATCTGGCTGCTACCGTGATGGTTTTCATATTTCAAGGACCTAAAGCACGCTTTGTGAGAAAGTGCCCAAGCGGTCTGCTGAAAACAACCTAAACGGATGCCTTAGAAAATTCAAGTGCCAAGCACTATTAAGGTTGATTTCTTCTTTGTTTTAATCAAGTTCCTGTCAAACTAATTAAAACAAAATTTCAAATCCTAGTTTATTGCTGAAGATGTAGCAGTATTACAAAAAAGCTTCGAATGTTTTAGCACCTGTTATCAGCTAAGCACCGATTTTTTTCAATCAGTTTAGAGATTCTAGCTTTGCACTGCAATGTCTGTCTAACCAAACTGTAACATACTTACTTTATAATCATTGTGATCTAGAAGCCAAAAACCTTGAACGAGCTTAACAAGATCCCACGGGATGGCAAAGGCTGTTTGGAAGAATTTGATTGAAGTTTCTGTTTTATTCGGAAAGGAATGCATGACATCTAGCAGGAAGTAAATTGTCTGACATCACGTATCTCATTAAGGCTAATCAATTTGGAAGACCGACAATTTATCACACGACCTTTAGAAAAACAGAATGAAGGAAGAAGAGAAAAGAGGTAGGAAGCAGAAAACCCTAGTGTATTAGTCTTGCTACTTTAAGATCCTGTAACTTCAAGATAGTCAGGTCCTCACCACAAAATCGTGTCCTGTATAAACAACCAGAAAGAAATACTCTTTGATTTGTGTAAAGCGTTCAAAAAGCTTAACTTTAGGTATTTAAATACTTCAGTTACAAACTCAGGCTCCCTCCTGAGTCAGCGGAGCTACCAGCTGGACATGCAAAACATTTGAACGTCCAGGGCTTAATTTGAACGTCCAGGGCTTAATTATTAAAGGAAACACATTCTACAGTTGGTTTTTTCCCCTCATTTCCAGAGTACATAAAGCAATGTAAAGCGTGGCGTCCTTACGATACAGCTCAGCTCTCAATGATTAAAACTGGATTTAAAGCAGGATGTGGATCACTCATTGGTAGCTCATTGGTAGCAAAGGTATCACTTTCTCTCTCTCACATCTGTTTTTAGGGACATACTCTAACAGGACAGCTCTGGGGTACAAACGTTTTTAAACCCCTTGCTCTCGAGGCTCCCCTCTCGGGTTAGGCAACAAACTACAAAAGCAATTCTGTATATTCCAGCAGCTTAACAATTAAGTTTCTGCCTCGTGACTTTTCTCCCTGATTCCTCCTCTGTGTGTCTGCACTTTTAACAGAACCAAAGCAAGCCCTGTGAGCTGTGCTGGAAAATCGATGATTCCAGCAAAAATCAGGTCCTGGTAAGCCACTGTTAGAAGTGCTTTTGCTCTGAAACAGCACGTTTTAGCACAGCGTTCTAGGAAGTGGCCATTTGCTACAGATATGGGTGCTTTAGAAAATTAAAAACTGTGCTTAAGTTTTGAGAAAAACTGAGCGAGATTTTTACCTTTAACATTTCTTAGTAAACCTCTTTTCTCATATTGGAGGAGACTTTGCAACAACACTTTTCCAAAAAAATCATAAAATATCCAGAGTACAAAGAGATAAAAGGATGCTTCTGTCTACGACTTAAAGCTAACCTGCGTGTTTTCACTTGCGCTGTGTTTGAAGCATAAACTAAAAAAGGTTATTAAAGAGGCAGGTCACAAACATTTAAGAACATTGCTGTGTCTATGCTGAAGGTGTAAGAAAAATAACTGGAAAGGATACAATTGCATGTTTGTCATTTTCTTCAACGTTGTCTAGCAAATAGAGATCCAGCAGTGCCTGAAATGAAAAATTAACAGGTTTTTTAACAAACTTCCATCTTTCATAAATCATTGGCTTTTGGGCAGGGTTTGGGAGGCGGTTTGTTGTTGTTTTCACTGAACATAACACTCACATGTAAACTAGCAGGTGGGTATTTCCCAGTTCCTCCTTCATCTCTCCGCCACAACTTCTCAACTTGGTCTCCTAACTGGGAGACCATTCCATCAATCATCAAGCAGTCAGAATCCCACTTTCCCCTGGAACAAAAGGTAGCAGGATTGGGACAGAGTAAAACTCGAATTCCAGCTTCTCACCGTAACAGAGTTCCTCCAGTCAAAACAAAAAAAAAAAAAACCAGCTCCCCTGAATCAAAGAAAGAAACACCCATACCAAGGCATAATTGGGACTTCCAATAGACTTGAAAGAAATTTCTCAATCAGGGAAAAGATCTTCACTAGTTCATGTTCAATTATTCAAGGAGTTCAAAATAGAAACCCTAAAAGCTCTCTGGTTAAGGGAAAAATTACAATGACCTTTCAGTTTTCAGGTTTTCTTTCTTGTTCTATTCCTCGTAATACAAAGGAAGGGAAAACCAAGTCCTTTAGGTGCCAGAAAGAACCCCTCTCATGCTGTGTAACAGAGGAAACGTAGGAGTATCAAAATACCGGCCCTCCTCCTTAACACAAATCTAATGCCTCAAATTGGAGTGTTCCAATACACAGCTCTGAGACAACACACTGGAAATTTCACATTTTGTTCTCAGCTTCTCGCTTTTGTTACTGAAAAACAGTCACTTTCAGAAAGCTGAGCATGCAGGTTAATTTCAGCAGCACCTTAAGCAGCATTCATGTTTCTATACACATTGCAGATGGCTCAACTTTTAAAATTCCATCACAGTCTTCTGCTGACTGCAATGCTACACTTCAATTGCCCCAGGATAAAAAGCAGAAAAAACCACACTAGAGCTTCTGTCTTTCCAAGGACGACATGAGCCTGTAAGTTACTTGAGAAGTAAGCTAAGGAACATGAACATCACAGTCAATACCTAATACCCGGCAGTTTCCACCTTAACTCATCTTGCAGCATCTTGGTCACAGAGCCATCGCCTAAGCTTGTTTAGGTCTTTATTCAGTTTTCAGTACAATTTCCAAACAAAACCCTATTGTCAGCTAATCCAAGGCACATCACCTCTATGCTAGGCAGCTAGCCCAGGAAAGAGAGTTTGCATTAGGAAGTGACTTCTGTCCAACAGCCAGGAGAGCCCAAGGCATGCCACCGACATGTAACTCTGACCATCTTACTACATTACACAAGTGTACTTGCGAGTAGGAGATTTAGGCCATGGCAGTTATTGCTGTCTATTACTCGTCAATGAAAGATGACTTTTTCAAAAAACACGCTGTCTTCTGCTTCCAAAACAATTGTTCTGAGAACACTGCCCTTTGCTGAACTGGACATGACGGATCCTATCCTAATCACGTGATCTTTTTCAGTAGTCACAAACTACACAGATTAGCCAAGGAATTAAGTATGCGACAAAAAGAAAGACGATACCGAAAAATGGGAAGAAGCAGAGGTACATGGGAACATTTTAACACAGGAAAGTAACCTCTGTGTTCAACAGAACACGTGCATCACTGAAGTCAAGAGTATTGCCGGCAAATGCATTACGCACAGCCAATACAACTGCCGAGTTAAAGCCATTCCCATCCCGTTCTGAATTTGAAGTGGAAGTGTTTGAGAGTTTTCCTGGAAGTCTTACCTTGATAAACGCTCAAGTTTCTGTCGATGACCAGTATAGTAGCTCTGAATCAGAGGATAATTGTAGAAAGGTCTACGCAAATGCGTACCGTCATCTACAAGCAAGAAAGTAAAAGCAAGCTGAAGAAGTAATATCACACTTGTAATCTGAAATGTTTGACTAAAAAGGCAGAAGATCACACAAGCTAAGCGTCCAGGAGCCTCCAGATCTGAAAGAAGCCACTTCTGTGTGTGCCTTTGCTAAAAGAGGTGAAAAACACAAGACTCCATTCCTTCTTGTCTCAAGTCCCATTTCAAGTTTACAGCTAATACAGCATTCAGAACACGTAGGGTAAGCTGAAGTTCGCTGTAAAAAAGAACCAGTTCTCAATGGAGATGGTTTTTAAACACGTCATGCGAGCATTTGAAAGACAATTAAGACTGACAATGGAATTTATACTCCATCCAAATAAAAGAGTATTTCCAAGGTGTACGTTTTCCTCAAGCCATGAATAGAAAGTTCAAAACAGGCAGCCAATGCTTTACCTGCAAAAACAACTGTTCCAGTATTTGTCGTTTAATAGGGCTTTGTTTAAAATCCCAACTATTTCAAGCCGTGGACACAAGCAGCTCCTTGAAGACAGAGGCTTATTGCTATTTCTAAAAAACATCCAGGAAAGAAACTGCTTGCGTTATTCTGCACTACGTGTTTGGAAAACCAGTAACGTCTCAATTTCACCAGCAGAACTTCAGCACACCCTGTCACTGAACCAACACCACTTGTTATTGACAAAACATTTACAAAACCACAGCTAAGCAGGTGCTCATAGGAGTCGCTTACTGGATGGTCTCCTTCTTACAAATGTGTCACGGTTGATGCTTACCTAGACCCTCTGGAAGGAGACCGGATCGACAGAACCAGATGACCACTTGCGCATATAAGGAAATGAGGCTAGTTACCACCTGCTTATTGGTCAAGTCTGCATAACCTGTAAACAGGCATAAGATTATTCTTGTTAGGCAATTCCTTTTATTTTTAAAAAACTCCCTTCATCAGACTAAAGTATAAAAATACTACAGTGGAAATCCTTCCCTTTGCATTTTTCATGCAGTATCACTTCCTTATTTGAAGAAAAAAAAAATCAGCATGAAAACAAAAAGAAACCCCTACAAAAAACTAGATTCACTAAACGTTAAAATAAAAAGAATAAAGCATGAACTATGAAATACACTCACAAATGACATTTGCTTTTCACGTAGCAGAGATTTTTCAATACCAAAGGGATATTCTTCTGTGTCCCAATACGTCAAGAACAATTTCTAATATAAAAAGCTATAGAAACTCAAGTGAATGACCTTACAAGTTCCTCGCTTATGCTTCCTTCATATTGTTTACCAATTTGCAACCCAATGTCTGCAAGGAATTATAAACTGCTAACTAAGAATTCAAGCGAATCATTTTCAGCATTACCACGTTGGGCTGCTGTAATTCCAACCCAGGTGCCCACAGAGCTTCTAGCTGAACGTAGCCTCCCCTACCCACTTGCAGGAACTCCACAACAAACTATTTCCCTGAACTCGATGCACATTAAGTGGTAGCCCCAACTTCTCAGGTTGAAGCCCCTCCTCCCAGCTAAACGTGACTGTCTTCCAATTGACAAAAACAACAAAAGCCCACCTTGCCACAATTGCAAGCCACGCATAATTCCAATCTTAATAAAACATACCAAAGATTTTGTAGCACTACTACAAACCTTTTTCAGTAAGCTCTTGTGCTTCTGTTAAAAAACAGTTTAGGACTGTGCTGAGGTTGCTCAAAAGCAACTGGCAGTGCTGAAGAGACTGTAATGTCTGGGGGTCAATGAAGTTGCAAGAGCCATCAAAGAGCGGAACACCTTTTCAAGAATAAATATTCAATCGTTAGTCAACAGAGCAATTTCAGAATGCCAAAGTACACTTCAAGAATAAATATTCAATCGTTAGTCAACAGAGCAATTTCAGAATGCCAAAGTGCACTTCAAGAATCCACGAGCAATATCCTATACTGGCGGATTCCTGAAGAAGCTCAATCAGAAAGAATGATTCGATGATTGCAGAATGACTACACTCGTACTCACATATTTGGTGAAATTCATCCTTTGTAGAGATCACTTTCTTCCATGTCCACTCAACAACAAACCGTAAACAAGCAGCAGAACTTGGCTGCTCTTTAAACAAAGAGAACACAAAAGAAATGAATCAAAAATTTCCAACTGAAAAAATATATCACGTTCAAATAAGGTAAGAAGTACTACCTTCAGCTGCCCAACGTTTAATGCATCCTCTCAGAAGTCCTAAAGAACCTGCCTGGACAGCAGCTGACAATGCCGCTTCCACCGGCTCCTCCTAAACAGAACAGACAAAATAAAATGAGAATCTTACCTGCTTTACACATCTGAACCATCAACAGTGAATGTCTGTTTCTAGCTGTTTACTCAGTCAGACAAGAAAAAAAAGAGAACTCAAAAGAAATGAATCAAAAATTTCCAACTGAAAAAATATATCACGTTAAAATAAGGTAAAAAGTATTACCTTCAGATGTCCAATGTTTAATGCATCCTGTCAGAAGTTCTAAAGAACCTTTCTGGACAGCAGCTGACAATACCGCTTCCACCTGCTCCTCCTAAACAGAACAGACAAAATAAAATGAGAATCTTACCTGCTTTACACATCTGAACCATCAACAGTGAATGTCTGTTTCTAGCTGTTTACTCAGTCAGACATCACAAAGTCAATTAGGAGACATGCAAGTAATTCCACAGTCTTTGTCTTAATTTGAGCCACAGGCTGGACTGCTCCTTGCGCTGAGGAGCACAGTAACTTTGCCTCTGACATTTCAACTTACTGAAGGCTAATTCGGATCTTTATATCTGTGCCTCTGCATTATAGGCCTCATGTACTGACTTCCAATTAGCTATTTTCTGTAACAACCTCTGCTAATACCCATTACGCATTCTGTGCACGTAAGGTTGCCATCAGGAGTGCAGGAAGGGTGAAAGGTTCGCTTTCTAGACTATGAAGACACGAAGCAGTTCTGACTCCCAAGATATTAAGTTATAATTTTCAGTCAGTCAGAAAATTCATTTATAAGCCAGCCAGAAAAGGAAGGTCAAAGAAAGTGCACACCCCCATGAAGAGCAAGACTAGCAAATTGGTAAAAAGGCCATCTGTCTGGACTTCTGTAAAGCCTTTGACATGGTCCCCTGCAAAATCTTTCTCTCTAAATTGGAGAGAGATGGATTTCATGAGTGGACTGTTCGGTGTATAAGGAACTGGTTGGATGGTTGCATCCAGAGTGTAGTGGTCAACGGCTCAATGTCCAGAGAGAGATCAGTCAAAAGTGGTGTCCCTCAGGAGTCCCTATTAGGACCAGTACTGTTTAATAGCTTCATCAGTGACATAAACAGTGTGATCACGTGCACCCTCGGTAAGTTTGTGGAAAACACCAAACTGAGAGGTGCGGTTGAGAGACCTGAAGAATGAGTTGCCATCCGGAGGGCGCTGGACAGGTTTGAGAAGTGCGAACATGTGAACTTCATTAAGTTCAACAAGGCCAACTGCAGGGTCCTGCACCCGGGTTGGGATAAGCCCCAGTATCAATACAGGCTGAGGGATGAAGGGATTGAGAGCAGCCCTGCCGAGAAGGACTTGGGGGTACTGGTGGATGAAAAGCTGGACATAAGCTGACAATGCGCGCTCACAGCCCAGAAGGCCAACCGCATCCTGGCCTGCATCAAAAGAACTGTGGCCAGCAGGTCAAGGGAGGTGATTCAGCAACCTTACAATACCTGAAGGGGGTCTACAGGAAAGATGGGGACAAACTTTTATGCACGGCGTGTTCCGATAGCACAAGGGGTAATGGTATCAAACTAAAAGAGAGTAGATCTGGACTAGATATAAGGGAGAAAATTTTTTACCATGAGGGTGGTGAAACACTGGAACAGGTTGCCCAGAGAGGTGGTAGATGCCCCATCCCTGGAAAAATTCAAGGTCAGGTTGGACGCAGTTCTGAGCAACCCAATCTAGTTCAAGATGTCCCAATGCACTGCGGGGGCAGTTGGACTAGATGACCTTTAAGGTCCCTTCCAACCCAAACTATTCTATGAGTTTTCTAAAATGGCAGAAAAGAAATGAAACATTTACATTCTAATAGGTTTAAAGTTTAGGCTCTTCAAATACTGTATTATAATGCAGTGGCAATACTTTAGAAGGATAGCGCACAGGTATGCACAGACGTGATATTAAGTAGTACCTTACCTCAACTGGTGTTCTGATACTTCTTTAGGTGAAAGGTTCCTTCATAAAGTTTTACTTTGTTCTTTTGGGGGTCTTGTTTGGTTGGGGTTTTTTTAAACACATTCAAAAGTATCTTTCCCTTCTAGGCAAAATCGTTACATTCCAAGCGGTTTCTACACAGTGGAATACACATGTGATATTTCCAGCTTTTTCTGAAAACTGGTTTCAGGCAAGGAAACACACCAAATGCTCTTTACGGTGGCAAAGAAAACTGGAAACCATGCTTCTTGACCCTATTTCTGCAATTTGTCTTACTAACATTCAAAAGAAATCCCTGCTCAAATGCATAACAAGTCTCTGAATGACACAGTCACTATTCAGCAAAGGCTATTAAAAAATTTCCTGATTTCCCAAGTAATTTCCAAAGCAGAGTTGACATCAGAACATCTACTTTGACTCTAAGAGGCTACATCAGGCTTGCAAAAGGGACAGTCAAAGGGTTACATCAGCTTGCCAAGACACTGCATTGAGCTACCACACTGTGCAGAAGTGTTAAAGCCCTCACACGCTTCCACAAATCTGGCAAAGAATCCAGTAGTCAGGGCAGGGGGAAGGCTGCTCTCCCCACCCTTCCCGCTAATTGCTCCCCTGTATGGTGACTAGCTACCTCATCATTTAGCTTAGATCCCGCCGGGGGGAAGACGCGCTGTTCATCACAAAGGCTCCGTCTCTCATGAAACTCTTCAGATGAGAGAGAACGGTTGGTGCCAAAGGAAAACGTGTGACAGAGGGGGTGAAGTCACTATGGCAGGATAAAGCAGACAGAAGGTAGCAAGCGTCATGAGAGAAAGGTGATGAAGCTGTTGCAGCAACAAGAGGGTGGTCTAAAGAGGAGTACGTTGGGCTACTGTAGCACAGGGCAAAGGCTACAGAGGTGAAGATTTGCTTTGACCTGACACCGGGAATCCTTTACCACAGCTCTCTTCCTTGGAAGCAAACGATCATGGGTAGCGCAGCAAGCCGACGTTTGCAACAGCTCACATCCCAGTGAGACACCCCCCTCGTCAGCTACTGCACTAAACTTAATGCTTAGATAAACTGACGGGGATGAAGGTTGCTTGGAGGGAAAGGTGCTTGACGTTGCGCATGACCAGCACTCACTGCATGCTCCCTTGTGCGTGTCTGTGGCCCACAATGAAGATGGGTCTCTAAAGACAGGTCCCTTAGAGCTGTTCCCAGTCAAACTCCGTAGTTTGGATCCAAGCATGCTATTACTTCTGCTAACTCAAGTCAACACCCATATTTCAGGGCAACTTGCAAATACTACAAAAACCAGATTGTCATGTCTTGTAGCCTCTCCAGCCCTGCCAGACCAGAGGAATGTCTTTCCCCCTCGATTCCCTCATATGCGCTCACCTGGCTCAAACTGGATGGCTGGACGTCGACGAGTCTTGGAGACAGCAAGCCAGCTACAAGACACCTATTGTAGCTATCACGAATGGCTTCACTTATTGAAGGGCCAGATTTCTTCAAAAAGTTCAAGGTCTGAAACATCAATCAAAAACTACTGATTAAAATAGCATTGTTAGTCAGTCACTAAGGGCCTGGATAACCACTAAGAGAAACTATAGAAACCTTCCCTTAAACTGTCAGAAAGCCTGCATCAGGAATATGCTTTAGCTTAGCAGTCTGAGTAAGCGTTACTACGTCGACTCTTAAAGACGGCAGCCAAACTAACAGTTACAGCTTATTTTAAAAATCCTGTGAAAGAAAATAGCAGACCTTGCAACGATTAATTAAGTATCTTCTAGCTTCTCTGTCAATACACAGGCCTTTCTTTTTCCCTGACCACTGACACAAAATGCATTCTGTACCAGCTAAACTAACACACAACTTTAAACCATGCTTTGGAAGAGCCTTTCTATGCTTGTTTGTGCAGAAGCTGATCCATGTTGGAAATACTTGGGGAGCTGAAACTGAATTCAAAATTATTTGTCACAATCTGTGCAGTGACTCGGAAGTTACAATTTGGCCAAGTCTGGGGGAAAAACATTTTCAGTTCTTCTCAAACAGTTAAGTAATTTCTCATTTTCTCCATTCTGTCCTCCTTTTGTAACAGCTTTCCCTGACTTCCACAACAGTTTTCTTCTTGCTCCTCGAGCAACATCACATTCCGTTCTAGACATCCAATCCCTGATCAGGCTTCACCAGGAGACGATGACGGTTTTACAGTCCCAAGAGCGGACCTAAAGCATGAGCATTTGCATAAACCTGGGGACAGGCTACAATTGCTGTTATGCATGTGGATGGGCAGGATGAGCATCAAACGGTCTCTGACACTGAAAGCAGTGCAACAGAAAGCTTAGAAAACGTCCACCTCTTGACATTCTCAACAGAGAGAGAAGAAAAGGTCACCTCCTTCTGGAAGCCGCTGCAAGTCATGTGAACAACTCCGGAGTTCAGCAAGCACGTTCCGTCTGCAGAAACAATGAACGTTTGACAACCTTCTGTACTCTCACACTTATGTTATGACCAGTTTACATTTTCTAAAAAGCAGTATCTGGAAAGATAGAACTGAGTACCCATATTCTTCATCAGATCTCTTTTGAAACAAACTTTTCTTTTTTTAAAATAATTACGGTGTGTAGGTATTTTATCTCTACTGCTATCGAGGTGCTGTGCTTTGAGTTTCGGTTCAAATCATTTCATTTTATAACTAGCACCACTTCACAGGCTACATTACGAAAGCACCAAAACTCCACAGACTGCCAGATATATTTCACAATAGGAAATACCTTGTTAGTACAACGTAATCAGAGTTGGGTTGGGTTTTTTTTTTTGTTTGGTTTTTGTGTAAGACAATGAACATGAGAAAAAATGAGATCAAATGATATTTCTTCTAAGCTTATCACTCTTAAAAGCACTGAAATACCTACCAAAATTATAGGTGCTTGGATTAAAAAACTGCTCTGGTGGTGGATAAGAAGGAGGAACTCCCCGACTTAGACTCCGCTCATGTACCAGAATATCCAAAAGGAGCTTGGGAGAAGTCATGCTTATTACGGTATCCAGTGACCACAAAGCAAAATAGGACCAATCGTGAAGGAATTCTTCTGGCCTTAAAGAAAACAAGTGCGTCAGCTAAACACCGACATTCAAATGAATTATTTGCAGGGATATTGAAAACAACTTAATAAAAATCTACCTTAGGGAGTCTGGCATTTGAGCATGATACCAGCGATTAATGTCAAATACACCCAAATAAGTAGACGGTTTTCCTTGACCATATGTTTTCACTTGCCAACTGAAGATTGATACACTGGTGTCAGGAGATACTACTGTAAAAGAGAGGACATTGTTTCTTATTTGTAGAGAATAGAGTAGATGCGATATTTTTAAAACACTGCTTTCTATTTTGACTTAATTTTATTACATCACTCATGAAACACAACACTTTCTAAGAGCAGTGAAAATAAATTAGAGAGTAGCAAACATCTCTGTGACAGGTTTCAGTCCTACTGCCCCTTTTGATTGTTCAAATTGCATCAGTTCTAAGCAAAGTCAAATACACAATTATTAGCTAATTAAGTTTTCCATACATAAAGAGTTGATCAGGATCTTTAGCTAGATGAACAGTTTCACAAAAAAACAAAGCTAGGAACACATACTTTGCTACTTTTAGAAAGTATACAAATAATTGTCCTATACACTTGTACCACGCAGCTGGCTTTACCAATTTCCAGCTTTGACTCAATTACAAGTTTTAAGAGTAGCTCCTTTCCATGCATATTACGAATGAAAGAACACAATTATTACACAAAATAAATAAAAATAAAAAACAGCCCCAGCAAATAGGAAATTGGAATAAAGACTTTAACATAAAACATTCACAATGTTATACTCCAGTTCTCTCAGTAGGTAGGAAGGTCTGTCTTCTTTGGGGAGCATGCATTCTCTAGATGAAGCAAAGTATGGGGTGTATCTTTTACCCTAGCAGAGTAAGGAGAAAAACAACGGTTTGTTTGGCAAACGTTTCTCTGCTGAATTCAACATTACTGTTTAGGGATCCTCATACACTTTTCTATGTTTCATTGTGAGCTCCTGTGCCATTTCAGTTGTCTTCGCTGCTGAAACTACTTCCAACTGCTTGGAAGACGTCTATTATTTTCATAATTCTGAAGATTGCTTCATTGCTAGCATTAACCCACATCCAACAGGAGCTCATGTGTGCCTAGAACTTAACTTCAACAGATTCTGAATAAAAGCTAATCAAGAAAGTTATGGGTATTTCTCCATGCCTCATATTTCATTTAAAAAAAAAGACAGAAAGGGTTTTTTTTTGTTGTTTTTGCTTTGTTTGGGGAGTGGAGTGGAGGCATGGTGGTGTTTGCTTGGTTTTAACAAGTTTTTAGCAGGCATTCTACTCAGAAATACTCAAAACAAAAGGCTATGAAATTTAGCTCTGCAGCAGGCTCAAAGATATGGTCAGAGCATAACTGAAATTGTAAACCCAGAGATGTATATTCAATTGCACCAAGACAATAAAAGACACTGTAAGAGTTTTAACTGTGTCTATGGACAAGGAAAGGTATTGCTTTAAGAACTTGTAGGTGTAGGAACCTATTCAATTTAGAGAGGCACAAATGGACAGGCAAATCATAGACTAATTTAGGTTGGTAAAGACCCTTAAGACCACCGAGTCCAACTGAAAACCTAACACAAACAAGTCCATCACTAAACCATATCCTGAAGCCCCACGTCTAAGCGTCCTTTAAATACCTCCAGGGATGGTGACTCAACCACTTCCCCTGGGCAGCCTGGTTCAACACTTCAGAGCCTTTTCAATGAAAACATTTTTCCTAATACCCAACGCTTAACCTCCCCTGGTGCAACTTGAGGTTGTTTCCTCTTGTCCTGTCGCCTGTTACCTGGGAGAAGAGACCGACCCCCTCCTCACTACAATCTCCTTTCAGGTAACAGTACAGAGCAAGAAGCTCTCCCCTCAGCCTCCTTTTCCCCAGCCTAAACAACCCCATTTCCTGCAGCTGTTCCTCATAAGACTTGTGTCAAGACCCTTTACCAGCTTGGTTGCCCTTCTTTGGACACATTCCAGCACCTCAGAGTCTTTCTTCCTGGGAGTGCCCGAAACGGACCACAGTATTTGAGGTGCAGCCTCACCAGTGCCGAGTACAGGGGGACAACCACTTCGCTAAACCTGCTGGCCACACTATTTCTAATACATGCCAGGATACTATCAGCCACCTGGGCACACTGTTGGCTCATATTCAGCCAGCTGTCAACCAACACCCCCAGGTCCTTTACCACCAGGCAGCTTTCCCGCCACTCTTCCCCAACCCTGTACTGTTGCATGGGGTTGTTATGACACAAGTGCAGGACCCAGCACTCAGCCTTGCTGAACCTCATCCTCATACCATGGGCCTCAGCACATCCAGCCAGCCTGTCCACATCCCTCTGTGGAGCCTTCCTACCCTCAAGCCCATCAACGCTCCCACTCAACGAGGTGTCCTCTGCAAACTTGTTGAGGGTGCGCTCCATTCCCTCGTCCAGATCATTAATAAAGGAGGTATTAAAGACAACAGGCCCCAGTACTGAGCCCTGGGGAACACCACCTGTGACAGACCACCATCTGGATGCAGACACGGAAATAGGTTTGAACAGGGGAAAAAGAGATTCAGACAACATTCCAAAGCGGTGGAGAGAATGATCTTATTGTTCAAAGGTGACAGCTGAGGAATTAAATGCCTGACCAGCATTATACAGATGACTCAACTATACATCGCTAGAGCATGTCAGCAAGAATTACATAAAACCTATTTTTTCCATTGAAGAAGTCCCACATCACTTAAGCACACAGCTTTTCTTTGTAAATAATCCCAGCAATCGAGTCTGTACAGATATATTTAAGACTGTGTGGCCAGAACAGCATCCATTGCTCAGATTCCAAAACCACTTATTTTAAAATAATCAAACACGGACATCAGAACAAACCTTCATTAATGCTATCCTCTCTGTCAACATGGCTGCGAAATTTTTCTACAGTCTGACAGCTGAGTAATTTAGTACTGCTGGTCTGCCCTCTCAAGGGAAAAACTCCACCTGTGAGATCTAAACTGTACCTTTCGTCACAGTATTCCAAACCCTGGGGAAAAAATAGAAGAGAGAAAAGGTCATTTTGAGATAAACACATACATCATAGCGAAATATGAAAGAAAGCCTATATCTCATATAATAAGCATATTATACTGTATATTTCCCATGAGCTTCTTTCTGATGGTAAACAGAAACTACAAATGACATGCAAGAGAAATCAGTATCAAATCGCAATGGGTAAATTTGGTGGTAAAGACCAGGTACATTTTCAAATTCTAGCATTTCCCTAACATTATTCAGCTCTAAATGGGTTTTGCAGACTTCCTTGCAATAGCAAGGTTTCTTTATAAACCTGAATCTATATCTACAAAGAGATATCTGAAATAACGCAACAGGCATGCACACAAAGCTCTTTGCTCCATGTCTTGATCACAGAACTGATGAAGTTAGACAAGTCACGCCATTTCAGCAGCTAAAGCTCTGTCGAGAGCTATGATCTATAGGCACATCACTAGAGTGAGAACTATGACAACTTCTTACTGATGAACAATCTCCTTTCAAACCACGTAAGCTCTTGTCACCTCCTCTTCTCATCTTGTCAGAGACTGAGTAATGGGTGAAATAGCCCTCAGTTCCTTCACCGAGCACAACCAACAGCCAAAGGGGAAAACAGAGAGGACATGGGATGCACGTGGCCAAGGCATTTAGGATCACAAATTACTCTGAGACACACAGAAACCCCAGCAGGACTGTGTTCAACCCCTGATGCCACCACCTTTTAAGTAAGCATTAACTTAAAAACTGTCTTTCCAAACACAGCATTGGTTCAAACTGTCTGCTGTACAGTGTAAGACTGGGCGTACTGTGGACAAATAGCAGCTCTGCAATTTAAAAAAAACGCCAAAACAAGAAAAACCACCACACTACAAAACACCAAAAAAAATTCCCAAACCCACTACCAAACAAAAAATAACCCAGAAAGGGATCCTGAGTTTCCTAAAACTTTCAGAGCTGCAAAATGAACTGGCATGAAACAAAACATATCCATATGATCTCATATGATACGTCTAATTCACCTAATCTGAGAAGAGACAAACTTTTTCTTAATGGTTCCATGAAATGCTCCAAATAAATATCAAGGCTGCCTTAAAATAATAATAGTAATAGTAAAAAAATAAGTCTTTCATTACTAGAAAGAAAAAAAGCTTCTGAAGCAAAGCAGTGTATTTTAAACTTTCCACACTGGATGAAGTAAATCTAAGGAACTCCACTGTATGGGAAATATTAAGTAATCATTTTATCAACTAGTAAAATATGAAGATAGTTTTCAAATGAGATGCACTAGTCAGACTCCAATATGAAGGTAGAGACCATCCACAAGCACTGTGTAAGAAAAAGGTAAAGATGTGCTCCATGACCATGACTGATGCATTAGATTTAGCAACTGCTGAAATGGGATAAAAAAGTTCTCTGAAAGCTAACTTAAATGTATCTTTGTTTACTTGAGCAGACTTAAACCAACCTTGAAGGCAACGGAGACATAAGTTTGACACACATTTATAAAAACACAGTGACACATGTTCCAAAAGTCCAAAAGTGAGTTTTTACCATGATCTAAAGTCAAATACGCACTGCTTCATAGCCATTAGTCTGATTCCTGGAACAAAAAGCATTGCTGTAGCACACAAGTCTTTCAGGCTCTTGTCAACTCTGTTCAATGAACAAGGATCAACCGTAGATTCCTCCTTGTTTACTCAAACTTGCCTGGCAAATGGCAGCAACTCTTAAATTCTCTGCCACTGAAGATGGAGAACAAACTTGTCTCAGACAGCCATGTAGGCAGAGAGTCACGCAGTACTGACCAATCTGTGACTACAAAGAAGTGTTCTGAGACTAAGAGTATCCACTGTAGAGTACAGATCCTGGCCTAATGCATCTTTTGGGGCTTCTTTTGGGTCTAGGAGTTGTTTTGGGTTTGGTGTTTTTTTCGCAGTAGGTGTTATCAGGTCTTGCTACGAAGCTACGTGTTTAAGTCGCTCATCTGGCAGCTAGATGAAGAACCTGTCTTTTCTCGCCAGATGGTCCAGCCGCTTAGTTCTCTCTTCAACTGCCTTGTAAGATTGGTTCCTGTTTCAATCTTCCACAACACTCATCACAGGCAAACAGAAACAGCAGGGGAATAAAATATCTCAGATCCAGAGACTGGTGCCTGACAGCTCTTACATGGCTGTGAATGTGTTACTGGTTGCATAGTCTATAGAGGGTTAAAAGTCCTACATTAACCTCACCACAGCTTTCACAGGTCACAAACACAACAACATAATTTGATCACTTTGTGTACTTTTTTTTTTTTTAAGGAGCGTCAACTGGAATTTCTAGTAGACCCATTTTTAAAGGCTGCTGAAACACCTCAACCCTCTGAGGTAAAACCTGACACTCGTCACATCTTTTTCAGAAAAAAAAGATGACCACAACAAAGAATTGTTGGAGAGTTAAAGGTCCCACCTTTTAACATTACAGTGTTGAGACAGAACAAAGTAGCCATGAGAGAAATGGATGTAGACAACTGCTTTTTTTCCAAAGAAGCACATGGTACAAGGTATTGTCTTTGCCATTGCTAAGACTGTAGCTAAAAATACCTTTTGAAAGAGGATAAAACAAAGCACGAGTTCAAAAGTGAAACTGGAGAAAGATTAAAGAAACTTTCTCCTATCAACCTGCCAAAATGCTTAGAGCACTACAAGAGATGCAACAGCGAACTGCAATAAAACCCCTTTCAAAATTAAAAACCCAACCAGGGTGCTCTGTTCCTCAAGAGCACTGTATATTTAGGTCACAAAAAAATTGTACATGAAAATAAAGAGATGATATCCATATTTAGAAAACGATGAATCACTTGAAGATCTTTCTCCTCTGTCACCATGATAGATAATGCATTTTAAAGAAACAGCACTTTTTCCAAGCACCTAACCGTTACCTAGTCAAAAGCAACACTTACAAATGAGGAAGGAGCTATTCAATACATAAGGAAAAAGCCCAAAATCGAAACTCATTCCAAGAAATCAGAATGCACAGTCCCCATAAAAAACAGAGTACCACGATACAAGACTAACCCCTATTTCATTCCGTAACTATTGAGAATAGGCAAGGCAAAGGATCAAAATAGGAGGAAAGACTTGCTCTGAATTAAGATTACTTTCCCCTCAAAAAGATTTTGGAAGACTTCCGAGCATACTACTGAATAGAATTATACTGATGCGCCTTAGATCTGTTACATACCAGAGCTATAATGATACCTCACCAATATTTCAAACACGCCACCTTTGGAGCCAGATTGTACATTTCTGTATTCTCTTCTGAACAAATCAGATTACTGTTTACTGTATTTACATATTTTGCTGGCTTTGAGAGTAGATTCAACAGGTAACCCAGCCAAAAAGAAGAACAAGTTATCTTTACAGCTACTAAGTTTCAGGGTCATCAACACGGAAGAGACACTGTCTCTTCATTTCATTTGAAGTCCAGTTGACAGAGCTCAAGAGAAAGCCAAGAAACTCAACCCAAAGATCAGCAAAGAATAAACAGATATATATGACCGTCTTTGGAGAAAGGGAGACAGACAGAAGCTTATTCAAGTTACTTTGGTTAAATAGCTTATTCAAGGCCCTGTCTTTTCTTCCTACATGCCCTGAATTTGGTGTTTAAGAATAATTTTATTTGTAAAAGCTGCTTCCTCTTCAGAAATTGAATTTATAGGGGCTCTTTGCAGATGAATCGAGTTGGAACACGTGACGCTGCAACACAAAATTGTATGCCTTGTTTTCAAAAAGCATGCACAAATGCCAGGCCCAAGAAGACTCAGCAAAAGACTATTTTTTTTCTCCAGTCAGCTCTGAATTTTGATGGTAAATATTACCGCTGTGAACTCAACTGATGCTCACCCAGAGAAAATAACTCTTTTCTTCTTTTCACACGCGTGCACGTCTTACCTCATACATGACTTGTCCTGATGCCAAGCGCTTTCTGTCACCAAAAGCTAACTGCAACAGATGTAAACTCACCACATCACCTTCACTGAAAAAGGTACCAATGAGGAAATTTGATTACAAAGATGCTTTATAATCCTCATAATCATTTCATTACTTCTAGACTGACATTTTCTTAAGAGCATGGTCTTGCTGAAAAGATAAACATTGCTTCCCAAAACATGGTAACGGGCCACATAGACCCACTAAAACATAAAGGAGGACGTTTTGACACTAAAAGCTTCAAGGGCAAATGCTAACCGTACATTTTGAAAGCTTCATTATGTTGCATGGACTAAAAATTGTTGGATGTACTTCTTCACAGCAAAGAGGTCTCGATCAAAACTGCTTTAAAGTCAAACTTAAAAAGCCTGCCACTCTCGGAACGGCTGAGCTGATGGAATAGCTTGCTGGTGCTGAAAGAGACAGGGATCTTTCTCCCCTTCCCTTACCACCAAAGTTCCAGTCCCTCTCCTGCACGCACTGCGCCCTCCCACATTCTGATCTGATGCAGACGTCTAGCAGGAAACCACTGACTTCTCTGCTGAATCGTTACCTGCCAGGTGAGCTGAACTGGCTCACAAAGGCTCACGACTGCTGGAGCTGGCACAAGGCCATCGGCAACACTGTCACTGCCCTCCTTTAGAGGCAGCAGCTGTTGGATCGGCACCTTTAGTCTTCTAGATCCGCAGCCTCAACTACTTTCAACGGTATTTTAATACCATGGTGTGAACATCAAACACAGGAAGCAGTCGGCAAGAAACAAAAGGAAATCAATTAAGAAGGCAAGCACAAAAATACAGCCACTGCTGCTTTGCCTTCTTTCAGAAGGCGGGAACTACCAGGTCCCTCTTCGCATCTCTTAACTCCTGTAAACATTGCAGGGTAAGATTAAAACCTTCCGTACCTGACAGAAGCTCCTGCATAGCTAAAGAAACAAAACAAATATACCTGTGTCAACTGTATGCCAACAAATACGTTAACAACAAATAAAATTCAGTGGCTCACAGTAAGTTTTTATTCACCTTTCCTGTGTAGACTGAACAGCCCACAAGTAGCAACAGTTGCGAGGATCATTCTCAGGCTCTTGAAAAGTGACAGCATAGACAGGAATCCTTCCTCCTTCAAGCTGACAGTGGTGCCTACAAGTTTAAGAAAAAAAAAAAAAAAAAGAAAAAAAAAAGAAAAAGGTGAGCCTACTGGTTCTAACTGTTTGCAGACGGGTAGAAGCATCTTCCATGAAAAGAAGACCTTACGTGCTTATCCTCAAAGTACAGAAAGTCATACTTCCATCTCAAACAAGTGAGTCAAGGAAGAGACTACTGTTTATGCCAACAGTCAAGAGGTGAGGAAACTCCCGTCCAGCAAATGCAATAACCTGCGTTTATGTCCTCCTCTGCCTCAGCAGGAGGAACATCATAAAGGATTACTTCAGCAGCCAAGCAAATGATTGGTCCTACTGTTGTAGTCTGCTTCACTACTGAACTTAAAATGCAGCATATCTTCTGAACAAATTTAAAACAGTGCCAAACACAAGTACTTTCTCATTTCTTGGACTACACAAAGCATTTTTCTTCCAGACTTGTGAATCTTATTGGTACCTTCACAGTCCATTCTTGCCACCTAATTATTCCTCCACTGTCTATTTATGCATCCAATAGCTTCTGGTGAGTCGCTGCAGATGCACTGAAGTGAATCCTTGTCTGAAGCTGGTCAAATATTTCAAGTGACATTGCTCTTTGGCAGACTTTAAATCACCTCTTAAGTTTTATATTGCTTATAAATTCACACGTCCCTCATTCTCACTGCCACATATTCCAAGCAAACTTTCATTCACATGCCTTGGAATGGGTCAATCTCCGATTTCAGCCAAAGCTGACACGTACGAAAGAATATATTTTCAGGCACAGATCAGCTACTGATTTTTCATGTCTCACTAGTTTCCTCCTGGACATTTTACAGACCAGGATCACCAAAATCACACCATTAACATACCTCAGCCTTTCAAACTATGCCCTAAGCGCAGTTACTGAAAAAATAGTTCCTAAAATCAGTTTCATCAAAATACACACACAGTGAAACAATGGTTTCACGGAATACTACTGGTAGAACAGACCATCTGATAGAAATTAGCTCTATCACATCCCAACTGCTTCACGTAACCCAAAGAAGCATTCTTTCCACAATTCCTCAGACACCATAAGGAAAACAATCCCAGTCCACTGAGGAGAAAGCCGTCCACTTAATCCAGGTATGACTTAACAGGCATTTCAGAAGGGGATTTCTACACATTCCAAGATTGTACTCATGCTTGTTTCAGTCCCTGAAAAAGTTCTCTTTAAATTCACATACTTCCTTAGGCAAAAAAATTCAGACCGCTGCCCCTCCAGGCGTGGCCAAGTGTAAAGGCCTACTTACTCCCTGTTCAAAGTTTTCATGTTCCACAGCGACAGGTAGCCGTCTGAAAAACCCACAACGAGCTGATTGCTTCTGCTTATGTAGCACAGGGTTGACACTGCGAACTTCTAGATCTACACACACAAAACCATGCAATAAATGAATGATGTTATGCCATTTAGCGTGCATTTTATACGCTGATGTGACAATACCCATAATCTAATTCTACTGTCCCAGGCAAAATACCAATTTATACAACGCTCTTTTTGCCATTTCCATTTTGTACATCTTCAAAGAACGTAAGAACTCTCTGATCAGGCAGGTAGAAATTCTCACTTGTATGTGAAAACCAAGTAAAAGCATAACCTTCATAGACAAATTCCTCTTAGACTCCGTACATCAGGAGTTTGGGCCTCACAATGAAGCTATTTGAAGTGACACCAACTCCTGAAGCCACTGGTGTAACAGTCAAAACAGTGGATGCAATCTGAATACACCAATCAGAGATTTCATTCATCCAAATGCAGGGGTTTGGGTAAGTTGGATTTCTTTTAGAAAACAAGCCTAGAATTTGCCCCAAGTCAACTAAGACGAGCCAAAGGATGTTCCCAAGAAACAGAGCACCTCTGACACAACTTCCCACCGGGCAGCTGCACCGACTCCGATGGTAAAACTCCCACACCTCCCTGGCAAGAATCATAGCGACACGGGGATCTTGGTGAGAGGGGGGCATTTATAACACGAGAAGGAGTAATCAGCCACTCCTAGTTTTAATCAGTTCAGGACTATACAGTCTCAAACCACCACCTGCAGTCAGGAGTCACAAATGTCTGCACACTAGTATCTTCAAAGTGAGATGCACATTGTTTATTTAAAAGACACACATTTTCTTACATTTAAATTCATGTTTAAAAAACACAAGCTTACCCGATGCTTCAATTTCATTCTGACTGCAAGACAAATCATCCAAACAAAGGTCAACCAGAAGGAGATGACCAACATCTGTAGCCACTGCTGCCACTCCAAAGAGCCATCGCAGACTCTGATGAAGGTGCTGAGTGCTCACGCTGGCTCCTCCGTGGCTTGTTATGGGTTCTATAGCGGTTACCTACAGGAAAACTACAAGTTAATGTCTCAGCTGTTTGACAACCTAACTAGAAACCATTCAAAAGGGAAGCCAGAATTAGCACATCACAAACAAGAAGGTAAATACAGGAGCATAAGACTTAAAAACAAAGCATTGTTTCCAATTCTTTCAGGGAAGAAAAAAAAAAAGAAAACAGCCCTGTACAAACATCTGTTATTGCCTTCCCTTTGCTGTACTTCCTACAGCTCTTTCACTGAATTAACTTCAGCTGAAACGGTGCATTCTATTATTACAGCTTACCAATTTCCATTTCCTACTTGGAAATAATTAACACTAAGAAAAGATAAAAATTCAGTAATATGCAAGAAACTTTATCATATTCAAGGGACTTAAGCAAGACAAAACTAAATCTAGTTCTCCCACTGCTAACAGACCGTCAGCACTGTGATACAATCTACGCCTTCTTTGCCAACAGGTATTAGGATAAATCATGGCTGTAAGTCAGTCGAGGCAGCAGCCAAGTTGCATGGGAGACACGCCATTTCCATGAGAATGAAACAGGTTTTAAAAGCATTGAAGAGAGAGACTAGCGTAGTAAAATTTACACTAGTCCTCATTTAGAATAAAAATAACAGCCGGATAAAGGAAAAAAAAAAGTTTTAAATGAACACCAGCAATTTCATGAACGTTAAACAAAAATTTTAGAATCCAGTGTAAAACAACAGCACAAAGAACAGCAGCTTCTTAGATAAAAAGCTAACTCCAACTAAGGAAGAAGTGCACGCTGCTCTTTAACATGCCAAGCAGTCCGCATGCACCTGTATTGCAAGGTGAAGAGAGATTTTTCAGCACACGTTGCAACACATCCCAGGACAACACTGACTGCCAGAGCAGAGCACAAGCACAGGAAGACTCCTGCACTGAAGCTATAAAACAAGAGGACATAGGCTATCCTTCAGCCCTCTCATGAAATGCAGCACAATGCGAACAGGAAGCTTGACATCAACAACAATGTCGCGTTATAGGAAAATAAAGCAAAGAAGGGAACTTCACAAGGTAGTCCATTTTTTATGTGTATCTTTTTTTTACCCACAGAGGTGGGGAAAAATAACCAAACCCCAAAGGTTTCTCCTCTCCCCTATCAAGCACTTGCTATCACTACTCTGCCTGGCAATCTACTCCACAATTTACCTTGCATCTTGCTCGCAAGAATTCTAATCTCAGAAGCACCTAGACCAATTTAGACCACTGTCATGTCCCGTTTCAGATTCCTTGTAAATCAAATCAAATTTCCAGTCTTCTCTCCTACTCAAAGGGCTATCGCAAGCATTTTGAGTATTCCAATTCTTGCTGCTCCAAGTCTTGATGACTGTTATGAGGGAAGCAGAAATACTCTACATATCTTGCTGCACAACTAGCCAAAGTTCAAGTGTGGCTTCCAACTTCTTTCTCTTCTAACATTTTATTTGTTGTTCAACTGGCTCCAAATGAGTCTTTTCCATTTTTACATACAGTCTTCCAAAAACGTTTCCCGATTTTAACACTTCCATTTACCACGTAGAAGCTCCTGAAACTGCCTATTTTTCCACTGCGCTCTGCACGGGCTTTTCATATGCTCCTAGACTAATGCCGACTCATTCTGGGAATGAACTAAGAAAACTTTTCTCAGCTTACGGGATCCAAATGCTACCCCTCCGCCTCATACAAACCAGGAAAACTTGGGAAATTACCGTGCCATAGTTCTGAAACATACAACCATTATAAACCCATTTAACAGAACTAATGTTTTTAATTCAGAGTTGCTTTTACTAGAAACCAATTCCAAAAAGACTCCATTAACATTTTCAGTTCACAACAGCCAAATTTTGCCCCCAAGGCTTCGTCATACTAGAAATACCCTGTATTAATACACTCATGCCTTGACACCTCGGACCAGAGTTACTCAAAGCTGGTGTTAACCTGGACACTTTGTTGTCCACCGAAGTTTTATCTACTTGGTTCTGCTCACTCTTGCTCCCACTCACAACTGACAAGTCAACAGTCCAACCAGCAACACCCGTGTCCTGCCTATGCTCACCTAACTAATCTCAGAGCCAAGAGATTGGCAGCAAAATGAAAGCAACAGACCAGACACGCTTGTGACCAAGAGCATTCAGGCCATAAGAGCAGAAACTCAGATAAGCTTTGGCTTTATTCCCAAATTCACAACCTTCATCACACAACAGCCAACTTTTCTCCCCAAGACTTTGTCATATTTTCTCCTGAACCACCTTTTTTGTGGTATAGAAAGGCTCCCTGATACAACTGAGAGTTATAACTATATTTGGTTTCAAATCACTTCTGTAGGCACAGATTCGATACGCGACATGTTCCTTCTTACCCCTTCCTGTTCCTCTTCCCAGCTTGCTTGGATTTAAGAAATAACACTTAACAAAGCTACGTCCTTTTTCACAAACATCATTTACTTCATGAGTATACGCTTATGTCAGCACACAACTTGTCTTTCCAGCTACAACTCTCACATTTACCCAGATGGTAGGCAAACTAACACAGTGGAGCACCAACCCAGCTCCTCGCTTTAGAAAGTACAATACAAATGCTTGAGACGAGTAAGCACACCGTTGTTGTAGATTCTAAGAGGATAAAAATAAAGCAGATCTTGATGTTCTAGTAACTTATGCTGATTCTTGTTTACGTTAAGATAATGAGACTAGGGGACATGACATCATTCCTGTTTATGGGTTATAGAAGAAAAAAAATCAGTGACATTACACCAGTGTATTCCATCTACACAAACACAAGTCAGAGAGCACAGATTCAAGGCCTGCAGGATCAAAGCCGATCTCTCAACAATTTGTCAGATAACGCACTAGAGGCTCTTTTTTCCTCTCCCCAGTCAACAGAAAAATGTGTTCTGCTTTAAAGTCACCCGCTTGCTAGGCTGAGATTCATGGTAAAGCGTCCAAGTCATTTACAGCACAACTATGGAAGAATGAGATCTTTTACAGACAGAACTTCTGACAGAAATTTCATTCTGACAGGAAAAAGCATTTCAGAAATGTATGTTACAGACCTATTAAAGGGTAGGGTATATTTCCTTTTCACTCGTGCCAAAAAAAAAGTATTGTTCAATGCCCTTTTGTGGAATTAGAGAATCAGGTAACTGTGCGCTCTGCAATAAAACTAGAAAACTTGGTTTACTACCCATAAACTCAAAAGATAACAGTACCGTTAAGCCCCAGATCTTACCTAAAGGCTCTCTCAACTGGATACTCTCAAGTGACAGTATGGTAATGCACTAGAGAAAAAAATACCTCCTACAAAGAGACGCTCCAAAGCTGGTCCTGAGACAGGGTCACGCAGCACCTAACAACATAAAAGCTTCGTTTCTCCAATTAAAAAGTACTTACCCTTCCAGGAAGAACAACTGATTTAACCACTCGTGATGTTCCAAGGTCGTACAGACAGAGAACGCTTCCCTCTGCTTCCTCCAACCCAACCAGTAGTCCAGTTCTCTTCTGCCACGAAAACTCCTTCACCACACGAACAGTGGGAGGCTGCTCATTTACTCCACCGAAACGGTACGCAGAGAGCCGCTCTGCTGTCACTGAGTTCACCACCTCGAGTTGAGGACCACGCGCCAACCACGCTAGGCCATTCCTCCCTGGAAGAGAAAGCTGGCTAAAGCGAACGTCCAAGAGAAGACTTGAAAACAACCGAAAACTCACAGTCACTGCCCCTTTCCTTCAGTAAAAGAACCTCAGAGAGGAAGACCAACCTACCTCGTTCCGGTCAATTCCTTAAATCACCCACTGAAATCCTTAAGCGATACCTCTTAAAATGAACAGCTTTATTCTTTTGCATTTGCACCTGTCATTCCTGCGCTGAAGAATCTGGATTGCTTGGGATAAAGATTACAATATCTTGATCTAGAGTCTTTAGACCACATTCGGCTTGGTTTTGCGAGAAATCATCTAAATGCATATGGGAATGCAAGTCCTGAAGCGGCCTTCCCACATAACAAATCTAAGCCAATTCATTTCTAGTTGATTAATTGTCCTTGACACAGGCCTACTTTGGGCAGAGATTTGGACCTCCACAGGAAATTCTCTTAAAACGGGCACCGCATGAGTAAATGTAAACTTTTACTTAACAGTGTTGCCCTCTTCCTTTTCTTTTTATTCAGACTAGAAAAAAAAAGAAAAGCAGGGGAGCGCATCTGTAACACTCTAGAAGAACTACTTCTGCACGTGATGTTACAAAGGTCTTAGAGCTTGAGCTGGTGCAAATAAATACCGCCCAAAACACCACTATTCCTCCTTTGAAAACAGCTTTTTTATTTAATTAAAAATTGAGGAGGGCTCACTGACTCAGCATGTTTAAGTAAACTATTTTAATAGCACAAGATCGGTGCAGGTTGTTGTAACTTCAAAGTTTAACTATACTAATGTTCTAATATTAGCATTTTTAATTGTTAAAGCATCCTTTTTGTTCTCACTAAACCTGATGCACCTTAACAGCACCAGCCTGGCACAGTCGATAGTATGACCCCACGCTTCAGGTAACGTCCAGGCAATAACAACTTTATACCAAGTCCTAATTTAAAGGAAAATGCTCACCTCCAGAAAACTTCCCACACAGCACAGAATCGAGGGTGATCTCATCTTCACCAAGTGCCTCAAGAGTCACCTCTGGAAACTGCAGCAGACTGCTTGTTACCTGAGCTGTTAGGTCTCGCATTCTTCACTGTAAACAAAGAAACATCAACAAGAGAGACTCATGTCAGCCATAAATATTCTTGAGATTGACACAATTATCATCAGACACAGTGAAAAATCTCCTAGGCATCACCTGTATCTCTTTTCCTTAAAACATGGGCACTCAGGACAGTTTTTACTCCCACAGCAGAGCAAAAGGAGAATCCTTTGCTTTTCTGATGCCTGTGAGATCCCCAACAAAAAGTGACACAGAGGTATTGACAAGATAAGTAACAGGAGAAAACCCAGTACACTGAGTTCAAGGCTACTCACATGGGTTAGTTAGATGGGATCTGAGAAAAATCGTATTTTAAAAAGCTTCTCAGTAACAGGTACAAGTTTCCATTTCTGCTTTCCCTTGATTCTATACTTTATTACGTATTGTCAGTTGTCTTCTAGTAGACTTCACACATCATTTATGTCTTGTTCACTTTTGGCATGTTTATTTTGAACATTAAGAAATTAGCATTTCTTAACTACCTTCATACCTGAATTCTGCCAGAAAATGTACCGTTGACATTTTCACATTACAAGCAATACAAACTTTCATAGCTCATCAAATAGAAAGTAGTTTTCCATACAGTTATGATGTAAACATAACACAGCACTTTAAAACATTGACATGTTTTCTGTACTTAAATCCTCACATTCCGTGTTCCAGTCCCTTCCTTATCACATCTCTGTAGTATTTTACAAAAACTTCTTAGCTGTCCAGACAGTTTCCACACTTCTGTAGGTGCTCCACAAAGAATTCAGGTTTCAGCATGTCAAGACCGATTTTTTTTTTTTGTGGAAACAATTAAAAGCTGAAGTGATTTACAAGATTAAATAGGAGGCTAAATAAAAGATATTTCATACATACACAAATACAAACTACTTTAAGCAACTATTTTGCAAGTTTGCTGGGTTATTGAAAAAGCCTGCAGAAGACAGGATAAATTTAATTATCTCATTCAAATAGCACTTCTTTCTTCATGAAATCTCAAAAGAAAGATATTATACATGATTCACTATTCGTGGCTGTTACACATTCTGACCAACTCGGGCATCAAGCAGAACCTTTACCCTATGCTACAAACCAGTACAGCCAGCCACTTAAGTGTGAACACAAAGCCTATTGCATTAACTGTACCATACACGTTCTCCTGGACATGAAGTTTTGTGATTGCTTCTTCCAGTGTGCACTAGTAACCTATTTTCCTTACAGCACAGGAGGTTACAGCTAGTTTTGAAGACAAGACTCTGAGAGCAACACTAATTTATTAAATGGAAATGTTTATAATAAATACAGTTTATATGAATTGTAGTTCTCCAGAGGAAAATTATGCTCTAAAGCCTGGGGATTGGAATCTACTATATTTTAAGTCACAAGCACTCTGACAATACCTTCCAGTATTTTCTGCTGGTATGAAAACAACAAGCGCATGAAACACAGGAGATGTATGTCAGGGTCCTGCACTAAGCGCAAGTGAACATTTGGAAAAAAAAGTTGCCAACGGCAGAGCCAGTATTGCAGGATGCTGCTGCAGCCAGCCAGGCTGAGTGCTTTGCCAGCATTCACAACTAATCCAGATCAAGTTCCAAGTGGGACAACTTATTTGCAGTAGTTTTGTTGCATTTACTTATTGGTACTTGTCATCATTTCAAAGTGACAGTGGGATCAACTTTCGCACTGCATCCAGGGGCTCCAGAGAGTAAAAAGCCCCTCAATTTGACCACCATTCTGGCTTACTTTAATTGTAATGATTTAATGAATATGTTTTATGAGTAACCCCTAATACCAAATGCTAATACAGATATACTGGGATGGTGAATAACATCTTTTAAATGTTTCAGTTTGTGCCCATTGCCAGGTCCTGTCACTGGGCACCACTGGAAAGTACTTAGCTCTGTTTTCTTTACCTCCTTTTCAGGTACTCAACCTTTCATCAGAAGAATGATGCTCCAGTCCCCTCTAACCATCATTGTGGCCCTTCACTGCACTCTCTCCAGTATCTCTATCTCCTTCTTATGAGACTGAAGAGCTCAGACCTGGACATGGCACATCAGGTGTGACACCACCACTGCTGATTAGAGAAAGGATCACCTCCCCTGACCTGCTGGCAATGCTCCTCCTTGTGCAGCTCAGGCTGCCTTTGCCACAAGGGCACATTGCTGGCTCATGGTCAACTTGGTGTCCACTAGGACACCTAGGGTCTTTTCTGCCAAGCTGCTCTCCAGATGGGCTGGCCCAAGCACATACTGGTGCATGGGGTCATTCTTCTCCAGGTGCAGGACTTTGCACTTCCCCTTGTTGAACAGCATGAAGTCCCTGTCAGCCCATTTCTCCAGGCTGTCAAATCCCCTCTGGATGGCAGCATGACCAACTGGCATATCAGCCACTGAGAGTTTTGTATCTGCCAGCTTGCTGAGGGTACGCTCTGCCCCATCATCCAGATCATGAATGAAAATGTTGAATAATCAACCCCTCCCTGCCAAAGTAGCCTATTTTAAAATATTCAGTTGGTCAATCCTCCTTTAAGGGAGAACACTGACTATGACAACATCTGTTAAGGAATTATAGAAAACAGCACAAAATTCCAAAAAGAGCATATATGATTGTCGTGAATAAAAAAAAAAAAAAAATAAATCTTTTTTTTAAATAAGCACGGAGATTTCTGAAAAACAAGTCTCTGTGGCAAGCACTTCATGATTACCAACATAATATATTATACTAGTAGCAAGATATTTTTAAGAAAAAGAGTGAACGAGTATCTTTCGGCAGGGCAGGTAACAGCATTCAAGAAAACTTCTCAACTGCATGCTCTCCATGAGTCACCCTGCCTTTGCCACTGCCTACCTGGACAGGCCAAGAGCACACCTGGACCATTCATGTAACTTTTAATTTAATCATGCTGCAGTTATTAACCGTGTATAAAAGCATGTGAAAATGCTAGTGCATCAGACATGCCCAGGTTCCCTCTAGTAAGGCAATGGGGCATTTTAAACACTTTTTTTCTAGACATCTGGCTTGGCAACATTGAACCAGGAAGACAAAATCCATAATAAATTATGAACAATATATATAGTGATCTGGTTATTAGGACAAGGGGTAATGACAGGATGGGGGGTAATGGCTTCAAACTGGAAGAGGGGAGATTGAGAATAGATATTAGGAAGAAATTTTTTACTCTGAGGGCGGTGAGGCGCTGGATTGAATTGCCCAGGGAAGTTGTGGATGCCCCATCCCTGGAGGTGTTCATGGCCAGGCTGGATGGGGCTTTGAGCAACCTGGTCTAGTGAGAGGTGTCACTGCCCAGGGCAGGCAGGTTGGAACTAGATGATCTGTAAGGTCCCTTCCAACCTAAACCATTCTAAGATTCTATGTTTTACTTCCATCATTCTACTAAGTTAAACTAAGGATTACTGGGAAATCAAAACAGTGGGAAAAGTTAGATAGAGCTAGGTTAAAGGCATGAAGCCTGTCCTTTAAGAGATATATCCAACACTAACTGCATTTCTGCTCTCTTTGAAAACAAGGACTACAATTACATTCCTATTTCTGCCTGTTGGAAATCAGATCAGTGTAAAACACCAGACTTACTCCCTGTTCAAGAGTAAACCAGAATCCAACCTCCCAGCTGTATCCTATACCAAAGTGATCCGTGTACAAGTTGCCAAAATTACGATTCTTCTTCACCCTAGGTACCTATGACTTCCAAACATCATGAACTATTTCCAAAGAAAGGAATATGCCAAAAGTCACAGACTGAGGATAGATTTTTTGGGTTAAAAAGCGCCAATTTAAAAAAAAAAGGGGGGGGGGGGGGGGGGGAATTACACATTCAAGCAGAATCACACACAGCCAAGTGAGAGTTCTGGGATGTCCGTTTTGACTGACGGTAGTACATGAAAATCAGTTTCAAAGGCCAACAATGCTATGGGCTTACTCAAAAAAAAGCTAACATTATGGCCAGTCACAGCTGAAGAGATGATTTCACAAAACATGTTGACTTTGCTGCCACCAAAAGAGAGGCCTTGCTGCCGCCTCCCATCTCTCCATTTGCCCCTTTGTTCTACTACTGTACTCCTGTGGGCTTAACTTGCGCTGCCTTGAACACTTCTTAGAGCACTTTATGAGCCAACCTACCTCCCTAAGCAGTCAGGAAAATAACCCAGAAAAGTAGACAGCATTCCACCACCTTAGAGAGTTCAACTGGCTTGCAGAGAGAACTAGCAAGAGTAAAAGGCGGCACAAGGAAGGGGGCAGGACAACACACTGGGGAGAAGGAGAGGGAATTCGTCCACGTGCATTTTGTGGCAGTACGCCGGTACGCTAACTCAGACACGGGTGAACACCACACTCAGTTTGCAGGGAGAGCTAAAAACCCCTTCGCTTTTAGAAAGGACACCGTCCAGGACACAGTCAGTCAACTTAGAACTCCCTCTTGCACAGAGAGACCCCCTATCTCACTGAGAAAGGCTGCAGCTGACAGGCGTCATTCCTTCCTTCAGCCAGAAGTGGAAGCTAAAGTCATTTCAGGGAAGTCTTACTTGGCGATCAGAGAAGGGACAACATTGTGTGACGCTACTCAGATCACATTTTCTAAGGAAACAGGACAAAGAGTGGGAAGAAGCCAGAGAAGAAGAAATGAAAGAAAAACTAAGCTCAAATTCCAGAATCGCAAGGAAGAGGAAGGCCTTCCCGAATCACTGGAGGTCGTCTGGTCCGGCCCCGCTGCTCCAGCAGGGTCACCTGCAGCGGGCTGCCCCGGAGCGTGTCCAGGTGCTGTTTGAATACCTCATCCCGAAACATACTTTTACAAAGAGCAACCTGACAAGCTCAGAAACATTGGCAACACATGCAACAGGCCCAGGTTTATGGTGACTCTCTCCTGTCAGTTTAAGGGTTCTCTCCACCACACAAGTAAAGCAATACCACACCAGCAAAGGCTTGTCACCATTAGTTCTCTAAAACTGCATCCAACAGCTTACTCAGTAGAA